GGACAGTCTGAAGCCTAGAAGGCACAGTAGGGACCCTCTGAAGCCATTGTATGGGACTGATAACGCCTAATAACGTCCATTTCATGGATAATAACATCCGAAGCAGGTGATTAATGAAGTTAAAACAGTTTTATTTTGTTTTTAGTCAGTATTATCTTTAGCGGTGTTAGCAGTGGCTAGCAGCAGCCATTGTTGTTTGTTGCAGGATGATGACATCTTCCTGGTTATCTGATACTAAGTTCTGCTAACGCTTCTAACACTGCTAAAGATAATATTTAAAATTAAAATTAAAACATTCAGAACAGTTGTAAAACCGATCATAAGATCCAGGTCAGATTTCAGTTCCTGGTATCATTAAATGTTCAACACTTTTAGGCTGAAAATGACACGGACTGTGCATCTTAAGGAAAATAATAACTAACAATAAACTATTTTTATTTTATATAGCTCCAAAAGTCATCTGTGTTTAGTGATTTTAAATAGTGAAAACTCTGACAGCTGGAATGTGTTGATGGATAAAAGTTGCARAAGCTCCTGAATGAGCTGAAAGTTTAAAAAAGGATTAAAATGACAAAGTTTGCAGGATTTAAAATGTTTTAATAGAGGAAAATGTTTTATTTAAACCAACAAAGCAAATATTTAACATTTTTCTCTTTATATCAGAGCAGATGTGTAAAAGTCGTTGAATGTTTCCAAACGTAGCAGAAGCTCCTCAGCTCCTCGGTTTTATTTTGTTTGTTTTCCTGTTTTTCTTCTCGGCTCTTAAAGGCTCTGCGAGGTTAATCCCAGACTCTGCAACAGATCTGCCTCTCTGTTTCCTTCTTATCTCTGGGTTTTGTATCCTGGTTTCTTTTCACGGTTCCTCGGTGAACTCGCTCGGTCTGCAGCCGACCCYGGCGCGGCGCTGGAGGGCGGGTCGGGCCGTGTTTATTTTAGTGTCTGTCTGTAGCCGAGATCTTTCACCTCTTACCTCACACCTCCGCCTCTCCTCGGCCCTCCTCCTCCTTCCACTTAAGCTGCTCTTTATCTCTGGCTCCTGGCTTCTCGTGGCAGCCTTTAGCTCTCGGCTCCCCTCGCTCCTCTTCCTGGCCTTTTCTCTCTTTAGCTTAACCTTTGTGTCCTTCTTTGCTTCCTTGGTTTTGGTTCAGCTTCAAGCTTGCTCCCTTTGCAGGGCCAAACTCTCAGAGCTCCAGGGCCAGTTGCTTCTAAGAAGCGAGCTTTTGTACAGTCTGGCAGTCGGTTTTTGAAGGAATCRAACTCGTGAGCATGCATGTTTTTATAACCGTCTCCTGTGGTTTCTGTGCAAACAGCATCAGATTCACCAGTGAAGCTAAAAGATGGCTGCAGAGAAATGATCTGTTTACAGTTATCTGACAGCAGATCAAACTTTAAGCCTTTTTCTTGTGAAGGATTATTACAAAGTGTGGTGGTGTAAAAAAACAATCAAAAACCAGTATTTCTGTTCATCCTAATCAATATACTTGTAATAACTGTCATGTTACAAATACTACATAATTAAATCTTTATAACTTTGGTCAATAAACACCGAACTTCTCATCTTTTATTAGCATTTTCACTCAAATTCTTGTGTATATGGATGTATAGAGCAATCTCATGATTTTTTTCCTGTTTTATAGAATCTTTCAAAAACTTAGTTTCTAATTTATTCAACATGTCAGAGCCTGTAAAAGTTAAAGACTGTTAAAGACAATTATTAACATCAAATATCCACTTCCAGCCCACTCAGTTAGAAACAACTTCTTCAACCCTCATTTCCTTCTGAAACAGAAGCCGACAGTCCGCCTGCACCCGCCCCCTCCCCCTCCCCTGCATGTGATTAATAGATTTTTTTAACGAAAATTACAGATTTTTAAGGTTTATTATACAGGTAAACGTTTGAAGGGGTTGACATGTACAACAAACTTTTAGATATATTTTGGGAGTTGTCTGCAAAGTGGAATAATTTCTGTAACAGGGTTCAGGACAGTAAATCTGAAAATGCAAATAAAAGAGGAGAAGTTCGGTGTTTATTGACCAAAGTTATAAAGATTTAATTATGTAGTATTTGCAACATGACAGTTATTACAAGTATATTGATTAGGATGAACAGAAATACTGGTTTTTGATCGCTTATTACATAATGCACCAGAATATTACACCACCACATTTTGTAACAATTGCCACAAAATGTAATGATATTATTGCATAATGCGTTAAAGACTTTTATTACATTTAGTCAGTTATTACATAATGCGGTTTTAGCATGAGTTTTTTACATTTTGAAGCCTGATTTTTATTACATTATTACATAATGCGTTGTTATTACAAAATGAGGTCTTACAAGGATCTTACAGTAAACAAAGGGGAAGAAGAGGTAAAATACGGTTAGCATGAATGCTAATAATAAAGCACGACAAACGCACAACGTATCACAGGCTTAGAAAAAAATCACAATGTCCTTTTGTCACACAAAGTCAGCATTAATCTAAATAACCATTTACTGAAAAAACATGCAACAATCTGCAAAGGCTTCTCCTGTTAATAAAAGCTGCACAACACAAATTKACTGATTTCACACACAAGCTTCCACAGATGTTGCTCACTTTACATTTATYTGTTCATTTCATGCTTTTTGTGTCGGTTCTTTGTCCTGCAGGTTTTTCAAAATGTGTCTGAAATCTGTGCAGGACTTCAAATCAGGAATACTTTCAGRCGGATGCGTTCACTTTCCTCAGTTTTCACCGTAACTCTGTGTTTTAAACTATCTCGCAGAAGACAAATAAAAAGCAGGATTTTGCAGAAATCGTTGCGAACGTGCTCCTGCAGAAGCTCAGGTCAAAGGCATCAGAAGCTTGTTGCTTAAAATTAGTTTTAATTTATTGTTTTGAAAACCTAAACAGGTAGTCTTGTTAATATCTTTGGTTCTTCAGGTATCGACAGCTTTTCCCCTGAGGCGAAGTGTTAAAAACCAGTTGGTTCCCAGGTTTTCCTGAATCTCAGACTTCTTGTGTTTAAAGAACAGGAAACTATTTTTACTGGGAATGCCTGAGGGGATTTTTCAGTTTTTTTGTAACTTTCTAATGGTTTTTGACACGATGTGCTTCATTAGAGGATCAGAAGGTGACAGTTTGTCTTCMCGTCACCTGAGCTCACTTCCTGCTCGCTCCTCTGCTCTCAGATTCTTCAGCCGTCTCTTCCCATCTCCCGGCTGCAGCTTGATAAAGTTCCCGCTCCGTCGTTTCACACGGCGCCTCCGATTTCATCTTTGTCTTTATCTGGTGCTGCTCCTTCATTCGTTTTCACTCCGTCAACAAGCTGCAGCTTCAAAATAAAAGCGGAGCAAAACGGGTTTCGCAAACAAACTCGAAACCTGCCGATAATTAAAAAATCTGCGACACACATGACGGTGCCGGCGGATGACGCTCGGAGAGGGCAAGAAATCAAGCAGAAAATCCAACACTTCATCAGAAAATGACAGATTTACACAGAGGAGGAGGGATTCGCTCTGCCTTTTCTTTATTTTCTGTTCGATTTCACGTCCCGTCAGCCGGCTGATGGAATCATTTCAGGCTGAATATGTAAATATTATTGTTAAATCAGAGACGCTGCTCCCCGGTGAATCTCCTGCTGCCGTTTCTCCCGGCGATCCATCATAACGGGGCGCGGTCGATCACTCTGACAACCCCCCGTTAACCCCCTGTTCCTGCGCCCCCACACCTGACGGAGGCCTCCAGCTCACACAGGAAGTCACCTGCAGGCTTCCTCTTCCTGTTGTACAATCTGTGCTCCTGATTGTTCCCTCCCTCCCTGAGGGTYTGCCTTAATCCAGCCTGTTTGTTCTCCTTCACGTAATCTGAGCAGCAGGTGTCGAGGTGGTCGTAAACCTTCATGTCTGTTCAGAACATGTGGTTTTCTTTTCTTTTCATAAAGGAAAAACCAGTCTGTCCATGTCAGACTTCTAGTTTGACAACTGGTAGGAGTGCATCARYACACATTATGAATGGAACAATACAGATTTTTAACATTAATTTTATCAACTTGTCTTCTGAAGATGCTCTGTGTTGAAGGATCAGTGAATCTGTGTTCGACTACTCCACCTAGGCTGTATTGTTGAGCGCAGATTCACTGAAAAACTTGCTGTTTCAGCAACGTTTCATTTAAAAACTGTACTTTTGAGGTTAAACTAATATTCCTAATTAATTTCRATGAATTACAAGTGAAGAAAGGCATGGACATTTCTCTTTATTTGTATTGAAAACATATCAAACCGTGAGACTAAAGTATCAAAATGAACCAAATCGTTAATTTTCTGCATCCTTGTACCTAATAATTGGATATAATAAAAAAAAATTAAAGATTGACACAAACCTGGCTGTGAGTAATAATTTACTTTCATAGTAATGAGAAATTCCTGTAAAAAAAGAACACATGACCTGAAGACGAGCTCAGACTCTGACACCATAATGATAGATTTTTTTAAATTGTGAAACTTCATTTTAACAATTATTTAAAGTTACAATGATCCCGCCCTCTGATAAAGAAAAAAACACACTTTGATCAAACTATTAGCTTATCGTTCTTATTAATAATAAGAAATGAAGCTATTTCTGTAAAGTGAGGTCATTCAGAAAGTTGCACCAGATAAAATGGTAACTAGTAATAACACATTAATCCACAGTGATACATCAGTATGATGCTTAATGATTCACTAATGAAAACCTTGATCGATATMATTATCATGCCTGATGTGGGCTGATATAAGCCCATCTAAACAGTCATTGTGTTAGACGATATCCATCAGACTGAACTGAATCATTGTGTGACACTTTGTGATATCAAGAAATATCTTATCGTTATTCCAACAAATCAATATATCGTATTGAAATAAATCTAGTGATTTACACCCCTAGTGTAAATGTCTACAGAATTTATATGAATATAAAATAATCTAATGTTTGGATGGCTTCCTGTTGAAGGTTAATGAGTTTCCTATTCGTTAAGTTTCAGTACAACTTTGTTGTTCCTCATATTGAGCTCAAGCTTTGAGTATCATCACACATGTACGTTAGCGCACGTGTGTGTGTGTGTGTGTGTGTCACATCCATGTCAGTCTGCTACATTTTGCTCCGTTAAATAAAAAGGAGCACATTAAGACGATATTTCTCCTCTGACCTTCTCTCTCTCTGTAGCTGAGCTCTGATCGATCCGGCTGCRTGTTCGCTGGAACACGAGTGTCGATAATGAGGCTACAAACATTCTGCGTGTGTGTGCGTGTGTGTGTGTGGGTGTGTGTGTGTGTGTGTTGGTCTGTTGTCATGCAAATCACAAACATGTTGCACAGTCGAACAGAATTTCATTTGTTTTAATGAGGCCTGCCTGGTTGCTTTCGTGTTTTAATTTTTTTAATTTYTTTTTTCAGTTTTCAATTAAGAGATGACACCTTCAGACTCTCAAAGATGAAACCACACACACGCACACACACGCACACACACACACACGTATTTGTAATTGATAAAGCATTTCTGGATGTGAAATAAAGCAGCGCAGAATTCAGTTTCTTCCCTCCTGTGTGTGTCACTGTGTAAGCGTTGTGTGTCACTGTGTATGCATTGTGTGTGCGTCATCATCACTAAGCAAGCGCCGTCCCGTCTGCTATCAATCAGAGCCAAYGTAGCGTGTACTAATTACCACGTTGTATGATGATTTACGAGCTGCGTTTAAGGCCCAAACTTTTGAGCGAGCTCCTGATTCTCCCGTCGTCACACATCAGCAGGATTTATGCTCGCTCCTCACAAAGCATATAGCATAAATTATTGCTGCATAATGAAGGCGAGTTCAAGCCAACGCCGCTTTGTTTTCAGTTCAGAAGAAGCACTTCAGCAGATTGTTTAAATGAAATTATAGGCTGTAACATCTGATCACAGTCGGCGACACAGTCTACATTTCCTTCCTCTGATTCATTATTATGACAAGTGTCTAATTAATAGAGTGAGTTAAAATGTTCACAGAATAACCCCCCCACCACACACACACACACTTTACTGTTAACAGGTTGTTCAGACCTGACTGCATCTATTCTGAGTTTTATTAATGATATAAAAAAAAAACATAAGAATGAAATCATGTGAGTTCTGCTTGATGTCACCCTTTATCACCTGCAGCTGAGAGGACAGTCTGRGGGTTTGTTAGCAAAATATCTAATGAACTAATGATATGTTTGTATAGCTTTATATCTTTATTCAGTTTTTCACATATTGAGCTGAACAGTGTGGTAGTAAACAAGTCCAAACAAAGTACTGACCGATCCTGCAGAATCACGACTTTTAACATCTTAGTTTGACCAAAACAGCTGAAAGTCTGTCTTATCAGAAGCTTTTAGTTTAAACTGACATGAAATGAAAYACAGCAGGTGATATGCATTCCTTCAAGCCGTTACTTTTCAAGACTTATTAATGTGGAATTGAACTTCTGGTGTGCCTCAGGGCTCTATCATTGGTCCTGTGTTGTTCTCACTGTATATGTTACCACTGAGTTTCATTAGAGCTAAACATAATCTCCAGTTTCATTTTTTTGCAAATGATATACAAATCTATTTGCCAGTTTTCCCCGACAACATAAATCATCACTGAAGCCACCATTTCTGCATTGTTTAAAGAAGCTTAATGGTGACATTTTTATTCAGACAGGCTTTTAGTTAAGTGCTTTTTACTGTGTTTTAGTCATATTTGTGACCTGTTTTTGTTGTTTTTAGTTATTTTGCTCTCTGTTAAGCACTTTGTGATGTCCGTGAAAGGTGCTATATAAACAAAGTTTACTTATGTTTAGAATTTGGGTAGTATAACATCATTTTGTGTGCGACTGACTGCAGTAGATCAATGTATGAGGCTAGCATGGATGCTAGGAGTAAAGCTAGCAGTAGGCTACAGTAAAAGCAATAAGGTTTACTGTGCTTGTTTATACACAGAAAGTGCAGRGATAGGATCAGGGTGGTCCAGTGTTGGTACTTTATCTCTGATTAAATGTTTGGAGCAGACATCAAGTCCATGTTGCACTTTTTTCTGGTCAAATTCAGCTCGTTCCATTGCTTGAATCCAGCAGTTAGCCTAGAACCTTAGCTTGGGAACTTTATTTAAAGTTTATTCATTTCTTAAAAAAAAGAAAAATTCAATATATGACATGAATACAAATCATAAATGAAATGAAAGGTAGCGGAAGAAGAAAAATCTTATATCCGTCCCCTTTTCTCAAAAAAAAATAAATTCAATCAAAAATAATCTTCAAATTACAAAAACAAAAACATACCAGAAAGAAAAACAAACAATTTGTACATTATACCCATACATTTCTTCAACAAATTAACCTTTATCATTGTCTTAAGTTTGTACATGCATCAATGTTGAGCGGACAGAGTCACATGATTCTAAAAATAGCCTGAGTGAAGGTCCCCATAAACTCATCAGATTAAAGTTCTGATGTTTAAAATCTGCAGTTAGTTTAAATCACACGAGCTCCAGATGCCTCCTTTTTTAAAGTTTTCTGTGTGAGACTTGAAGTTTAAACAGCAGCATAAACTTCCTCTCCATCTGCTCAGGTTCTGTTTCGTGATGAAAAACAAAGTCCAGGAAACAGAACGATTTGATCAGAACTTGTTCCAGTAAATTGGACGTTGTTTCYTGAGCCTGAACCCAGACGTTTGGTGAGCTCTGACACGGCGGGACGAGCGCCGCTCTRATCGCTCCCACATTCAAGCGGCGCTCTGCCGTTCTTCAGCGYCGGAGTTCTTAAATCTTCCATCAGCTCTGCAGGAAGTCAGGTCGAGGATGAGAAGAGCTCGTTTGTTCCGCATTTAAATGTGGAGATCAGTTTGGTTTGTTTCACTTGAGTCATGAATCATCACGACGAGAGGGAGGATTAGTTTTCAGCTTCAGGTTTTATTGGCTGAACTTCTTGAACAGATTATTTCTGTTTGATTAGAACATAAATATTATTTTTAGCTGAACGACTCCAGCAGACTGAGTTTATTCCAGTCACAGCAGGGAGATATGTTTCAGTTTGATTTGGCTTCTGTCTGCAGCTCAGATTATTAAACACAAGTTTAACCTTTATCTTTATGGTCTGATATAGTTTAACTATTTAACTCTGTATTAAATATAAGAAACATATACCTCATAATCTTGTTTTAAACAAGTTTATGATGCAGAATTTCAAAGGCTGATATTTTCTGCCAAAAACGGACTTTATACTGTAAATATTACTACATGTCACTTTAATTAAAATGTTAATACCACCTTTATGCACACTTTAYCCTGTATATATTTCTATTTTTACTGTTGTTTTTGCACCAGAGTCTGAGAATAACTGATCCTGTGTGTGTCCAACTTTGATTGCATAAATAAAGGTGCTGATAATTTGATGCACAAATGTATACTTAATGTGGACCATAGATAGTGACTTAAAGTCCAAAYGGGTTCAGATCAACCTGGACCTTGCCCATGTTATGTTGCATTAAAAGTAATGAGACCAATTAATACAACCTGAAACATTTGATTCATTAATTTTACACCCGCTTCGGATGTTATCATCCATTAAATGGATGTTATTAGCTGTTATCAGTCCCATAGAATGGCTTCAGACTGTCAGCTGGTTAATATGAGGCTTAAAGCCACTRAGGTTAATTTTAGAGAAAATGACATGGGCTATGATAAAGTAGACMGGACTCCAGCGGTAGCGGATTGTTGCATTCCAACATATATGGTACTGGTAACCCACTAGGGGGCACTGTCGGGACAGTCTGAAGCCATTCTATGGGACTGATAACAGCTAATAACAYCCATTTAATGGACTGATAACGTCTGAACTGGCTGATTTGTATGTCTTTGTTCCAAAATCT